TCTCATCCCAAGACGTCATCTAACTGATGCTTTTGATCATAAATCAACATCCAACGTTTTAGGGTACCCTTTAACGTCAGTTAGATGACGATCCTAGGGCGCCATCCAACTGATGCTTTACTTTTACGCTTTACTAGGTTCAGGTCTGGGGTAGGGATAGGATTAGATAGAGTCATCTAACTGACGTTAAAGGGTACACTAAAACGTCAGATGTTGACGTATGGTCAAAAGCGTCAGTTATATGACGTCTTGGGATGAGAACGGGCGGGTAGACCAGCACAGTCAATGTGTTCACGAGCAAAAAGTAGGGTAGTGATACTCAATGCAGCATGATCTTTCTGATGAAGAAGCTGGTTGATCAAATTGGTCCGACTGGTCAAGATCAAGCAGCACTTGGTGGTCAAATAATGTGGTCTTGATTTAATCAGGCCAGTTTTTGTGGTTGAGCATGGGGATAAACCAGAACACTAGAATCCAAAGCTGAAAACCGACATTAAACCACTTAAAGTCTTTCTTTCCAGAGATCTCTGCCCATCTCTTCCCATTTAGCCACTGTGCATTGGTGAGTTGTGTCTTTACGGCAGCCTTAACTCTGAATCGTTCTTTGGAGAGCAATGCATTTATTCTTTTAGCCTCGGATTCTTTAGCACATTTTCAAATCCCTAGTGAAGTCTTAGGTTAGTGAGTGTCAGCTATAAATATGCAACTGAGTTTTTGAGCAGCCAGGTGCTTTCCGTAGAAAATAACCTTTTCTTCACAGCTCCCGCAAGTATGTATCTTAGCTTATTTTTGTCTATTTGTTGCACTTATGTATACCATATGTACCTTTGGATAATAGTGTCTGTGAAATGTAAAATTGTATCCATAGTCGGTGGCAAATGTAACCAATATGCAGCTGTTTTCACTGCACTGAGATTTGAAGGTACGTACGTGCAAAATGCGCTGATACTAAAACTTCTTTGCTTAAAAACTGCATTATTTCCAAAAGTTTTGGTCCATGAACGTTTAGTTGACCAAATACAAGAGAAGGTAAAGTAACAATGCCTGCAAGTGACACGTGGAGCTCTATACTAGGAGGACTACACATAGTTGACAACAGCAACTTCTCAGCCACCCAAAAACCTTCTTCCGCCTAATTAGACCAATGCTGACAGATTTTTGTGACAGCTGATAGCTGACGCGAAGCAAAATAATGTGTCACATAAAATAAAGATGGTGAATGAATGACATAGAAGGACAAAAAAATAAAATACACAAGAAAATATACAGCTATGTTAGTTGTTAGTCGCCAGCAGCACACCGGCTCCAGACAAACAGTGCTGTTACTAGAGCTAACATTACAACAACAGAAAATCTTGGTTCTGTGAAACACCAACACCAATGGAGCAAAAACAATGTACCATGTCCGTTTTCCTTCCTACTGGAAAGCTTTTCTAATATTAATGTGGGTCCTAAAGCTCTTGCCTGATCATAACCTTCTTTTTCCAGTGATATTCATATGAGCTTTTCTCTTTTGTAATGTCTCTCAGCCATCTCCCTTTCTACAGTCTTTTTTGAAATCTCACTCTCTCTCCTCCCCCATCATGAGTCTCTGATTCAGTACAAGGACACGTTGGATCGCTGCCATAGTTGGACGCTTACTGGACACCACCGTGCTTACTCATTTATAGATCTTAGAGCCAAATTGTTTGCCAGATTTTAATTACCAAAACGATTGCCAATTTAAACACTTTAATGACATTATGAAATAGCCTAGGCTATAATTACCACCATATTAGTACTGATACATAGTCAACTTCATAAATAGGCCTGTATCCATTGCAAACATATTTTATTAGTAGTCTTAAAATGTCCATGACATAAAATCATTGTTGAGCCACAACGTTGTCAATATACAATAGTTTGACTTGTACTGATTTCAGACTGCTGCAGTGTCGGCGACTGGCGTCTTGAGCTTAAACAACACTGAGAGAGAGGTTATGAATGTCCAGAAGATATACTTAGTGTACGAACGTGTCGGGAATCGTGCCATAAAGTTAAGAGAGAGCTTATTAGATCGTTTGCCCCTATATTTAAGCCCTGTGTTTCAGTCCAGTCTTTGTGAGTTCTTGTGTGTTTTGTTTTGAAGCTAGTGTTGACGTTAGTTGTTGCCTGCTTCCTTCATAACAGTCACAGAGAAACAGAAGAATGTATTCTTTTTTCTTTCTTTTTTTTATAGATTTAAAGGCATCTTTGTAGGTGTGTTGATGCTTTAAAAAAAAAGAAACATTATTAAAATTCTTTTTATTTCCCCTGATGGTACATTTGTTGATGTGAAGTTAGATCTGTCATAGCATAAGACTTTTTGTAGTTTGGAGTGACGTTGCAAACCGAGAACAGCAAACAATTCCCCATTTAATTTGATACTCAAAATGTAGACACAACACTCTAAAGGTAAAAATACATATCCCATTGAGAAAGAACTGAAATATGAACATTGATAACATCTCTCATTATGTAATAAAAATCCCCTGAACTGAAAGAACAGTGAAACATCCACTGCTGTTATTTCAGTCGCAATGAATATTCAACAGACCTTTTTTTTTTTTCCTGACAGTTGACGGGTACAGAAAATTGAAGAAGCCATTGTGTCACATTTTCTCATGCTATGTGCACTTCAATAATGTGTCATGTCACATTATTAGCAAAAATCTACCATGACAGAACACACAAACTGATGGAGAATACAAAAGTATCCTTCCCTCCTAACTTTTGTTCCAGCTCTACAATGAATAGCAGGGAGACCAGTTATAGTATTTTACATCAAAAACTACATTTATTACTTATTTTGGTAAAAGACTTATACTATTTAGAACTATCCAAAAGTGACTCTAACATTAATAGGCTTATAAACAGATTAGATTATAATTTTAAATTTAATAGATGACCTTGTGATAATAACCCTCCCAATATGGGCAAAGTTTGGATCAATTGTAAAATTGCACCTATTATAAAAGCCCAATTATATAACTGCTGCTGTAATATATTTAAATATTACTAATTACAACATTATGTGATTGTTTCCATTTTTATATATTGCTAATTGTTTTATCTTGTTTGTGCGTGTCTGTGTTTCTGGGGACAATATTTTTCCACAAAGATGGCAATATCCAAAAACTTGAGGGGAAATATTTTGGTTTTCCCCACGAGGAAAACGGTTTATAAATCAAACTAAATAATGTTTTGTTTTTTGAAAATTCTGTATGTTTCCTGTGAGGGTTGTCTTCAGGGTTAGGGTTAGGTGATTTAATAAGCAGTTTGTACAGTATAAAAAGCATTATGTCTATGGAAAGTCCCCATAAAACATGGAAACTGTTACTGGTAACAATGTAGGCTGAGTAAACATGTTATCACTTACCCAACAACTTTGAGACAAAATAGACATTAGTTTGAATTCAAAGATATGGAAATGTTGGAAATCGTAGTAGCGACACTTCGTTTTCACAAACAGAGAGAGCACTTTACTGAGCATGTGCTGTGAAACTCATTTGTGCTTGAACTTGTTTGAAATTTAATACATGTAGTTTGCGACATTTGTCCCTGTTATAATTTACCTCAGCCTCGCATACATTTTTTATTACAACAATCACACTGATTAAAAAAATGGCTTAACATCTGTGCATGCTTTTGAAAAATGAATGCAGGGAGACAAAGCTACATGCAGCCAGATAGTAGTCTATTGCTCTTGATGGTAACTCATCTGCCATTGCTCCCAGTGACTTTTATCTGTGGTTCGTATTCTTTTATTTCGATGCTATTGCCATATGGATTGATATTGTATTGTATATTGCATTGCATCTCTGGGTGAATATGAGAAATAAATTAGATTTACTGTCACAAATATTTCTATGTGGAAATTATCTGGATCAAAATATCATCATACTTTTAAGTAAAATATGTCTGTAAAATCATAGATAATGCGTTGCATGTGAGAAGAGGGAAACAACATCACTGATATTATTTGTAGTAATGTATTCAGATGCAGATGAAAAAAATTGAAATAATGTTACTGTATATTCTGAACTTCCTTCATAAATAGAGTTTGAGGCTATATTTCCCCAGGCATATGTACTGTATACTGAATGTATAAACTAATATTATTTCCAAAATATTATTGCTGCTTTTGTACAGTTACACATTGTAGATATATGATAACAATATTTCCTACAACGATACAGGGAGAGCAATTCCTCAAGCTTGATCCTAAAGCAACCAGACATGGAACATTACATATTCCATTTAATATTTCATCATATATAAATATTCCATTCATATACCCTGTCTATTAGGGGAGTAAAAATAAATTTCCAGTCCCAGAAAAATCCCAGTCAATCACATATGAAACAATCCTAAATGCTTCATTATCCTTAAAGGGATACTCCACCGTTTTTATTTATTTTTTCATATTAAACTATGTTATTTCCTTAACTAAGACGAGTTGATAGATAGTGCTCTGGCGCGCGAAGCACTTTGATAGCACTTAACTAGCCCAGTTCACTCATTAGGGGCCAAGCAGAGAAGCGACCAAACACCTCCACATTTCCCTATTAAATACAGTTACACGAATAGTGTAACTTGACCAAGAATGGTGATAAATTACTCCCAAATAAACAATATTTTAATATGAATAACATAGTTTAATATGAAAAAATGGTGGAGTATCCCTTTAAAAAAAAAGAAAAAAAAAAAGAAACCCTAACTTGACCACTAATTCAATCTAGTAATTTTAGGGACCAACCAGAAGACAAGTGTCCCGCTCAAGAGAAAGATAGACAAAAACATGATCTTTAAAACAATCCAACTCATCTCATCTCTGCTAAAACAAAAACAAAACAAAGAAGCAAACTATTGAGCAACGTCTCTCGTTATTGTTATAAAATAAAAGCACAGGTAAAGCAGGTGTAAATTGTCTGAATCTAAGGGTGTGAATACATCCACATCAACAAGTACTTCATTCTTACCTATATTGTGTTTTGTGCCATATGGTTTCTTCTCGCAGCCTTGATTTCAAACACTCTCGGACAGCAGGCTCACACCTCAATAGTCCACAAAAAGCTCTCAGTCTACAACAAAAAGGCAGAAAAAACATCACAATTATGGTCGTTCAACAATGCATAGAGCGTACGTTAAAAAGATCTGCACATAAATGCCGGGATGTTTGGACTTAACCATCATGCTATCTTTAAAATGGTGATTTATTTTGCTTCTACAGCAGTGCGATGCCATTTAAATCCCCAGGAAGTCCAGATAAAACGTGTATTTATTAAAGTACATATTTACAGAAAGGGTTTGAACAGCAAAGAAATGCAGCTTTGTGGCCACAATAAGATTTACGTTAGCTCAATATAAAGTATTATGTAGCATTCTCCACGATGTCAGATGGCCTGTCTATCAACACGCTTCTACTATAATGCAACATGGCATGTTGAGGCGGAGGGAATGTGCTTGAAAGCTCTCTTTTTCTTATTTCTTTCTGTTCTTTTGTGTAGTTGTGTGGACATGCCATAATTTTTGTACCTCCCTGGTGAGAGTCTCTTCACTTGTCATGGCTGGACAAACAAAAACACACTCATTTCCAAGAAATGTTTATTTGAAAGAAGGACGTTGCTATTCCAGATGATGAGACCAATAATAAGCGGAGCTCCAGTAATATCCTGTTTCTATGTATGAATTCTTATCTTTATACCTCTCCTGTGATAATAATGCCCAGCCTCTCTTTCTTTCTCTCGTTCTCTCGTTCTCTCGTTCTTTCTTCTTTCTTTCTTTCTTTCTTTCTTTCTTTCTTTCTTTCTTTCTTTCTTTCTTTCTTTCTTTCTTTCTTTCTTTCTTTCTTTCTTTCTTTCTTTGGCACAAGAATACTGAATGCACTTATAATATAGAATACACTTCAACACCTCCATATTCTGCACTGAAAATGCATTTTAAGCGTGCAATAATACTCCTCAGAGAAAAAAAAAAACAATTTTACTTGCTTAATATGTTCTCTGCACGTGTACATGTGCAGGACACATACTGAATATATACATAGCATTGATAAGGTGCTGAAAGCATTCTTTAGAAATGTTGACCCCATATTGTTAGGATAGCATCTTGCAGTTGATGGAGATTTTTGGGATGCACATCCAGGACACGAAGCTCCTGTTCCACCACATCCCAAAGATGCTCTATTGGGTTGAGATCTGGTGACTGTGGGGGCCATTTTAGTACAGTCAACTCAAGAAACCAATTTTTTTTTTTTTTTTTTTTTTTTTTATTTACAGGGTCAATGCACATTAATAAACAAGTGTAAATGTGCCAGAATTAGCCCAAGAGGCTATTTTTCATCCGTAGACCCTTGACAGAATGTTACACAGTCACCCTAAAAACAGAGAGAGCATCACACATATACAAAAAAAAAGAAAAAACACCAAGATAAAATAAAATAAACATATATTATCTAACACAAAAACAAACAAACAAAAAAAAACATGAGAGAGAGAAAGAGAGAGATTGCTACACAAGAGAGGGACAAAGCCAAGAGCAATTGGTACAAATAAGTCTATTATCAAGAATACGATACTAATGTTGACAGTGCTGATTTGTCAATAACCATTTTTTAAGATGAGACTGAAAAGAACCAAAAGCATGCAATTGTCTAATTGTTGATGGGACGGAGTTCCATTCCCTTGCAGCTCTGACCGAAAACACAGACTGGCTAAAGGTACTTCTTTTGAGAGGGATAATACAGTCCCCTCTTTCCCCTCCCCTTGTAGATCTGTGAGCAGTTGTTCTAATGTTCACAAACTGTTTTAATGGTGAAGACAGGCTATGTATAGTCTTAAACAGTAAACAGATATGTACATATTTAATTAAGTTATCCCAGCTTAGCAAGTTGTATTTTTTTAATATTGAGCAGTGATGAAACCGAACGGATTTCTTGTCAAGAGTTTTTAGTGACTGTTTATACAAAGACTCTAGTGGTTTCAGAGTAGTAATATTAGCATGTGACCAAGTAGTTAAACAGTAGGTAATATGAGAAATAATCATGGAATGCATATACATCAAAGCGGCTTCAGACGACATATAATCACGAATAAATCTAAAATTTGATAAACTAAATCTGACCTTCTTACAGACCTTTTTAACCTGTGCCTTAAATGAAAATTTGGAATCAATCAAAATACCAAGGTACTTAAATTCAGATACAACTTGTAATCTTTCCCCTGATACAAATACATCTGGCACTATACTTAAATTCTTAGTTTTGGTGAAAAACATACACACTGTTTTAGAGATGTTTAACTGTAAGCAGCATTGTTCAAGCCATGCCGCAACATGAACCAGGGATTCTGTAAGTTCGTTTGCAACTTTTGAGGCACTATTTCCGTGTATATAAATAACAGTGTCATCTGCATACATTTGAATGTTAGAATTAGGGCAGACAGATGGAAGATCATTGATATACAACGTAAAAAGTAAAGGACCCAAAATAGATCCTTGTGGAACACCAGTGGATATACTTTGAGGAGCTGACTTATAATTCTGTATACTAACAAACTGTGTGCGACCTGACAAGTATGATTCAATCCATCTCAACGTATGTGGCGAGAAATTAAAACTTGATAATTTAGACAACAGAATTCTGTGGTTTACGGTGTCAAAGGCTTTTTTGAAATCAAGAAACACAGCCCCGACAACCCCTCCTTTATCTAATAGAAATTTAACTTTCTCAGTGAAATAGCAATTTGCCATCTCAGTTGAATAATTTGCTCTGAAGCCAAATTGCATTGGATGTAAAACAAAAGAACTATTATTCAAATAATTAGTGATTTGCGCAGCCATCAATTTCTCTGCAACCTTTGAGACAATAGGTAGAATACTAATAGGTCTGTAGTTACTAGCAGAGTGAGGATCACCACTTTTGAATATAGGCACAATAGCAGATGACTTCCAAGCACAAGGGAACATCCCCTGAGAAATTGAAAGATTGATCATTTTAGTGATAGGATTACTTATTGACTCACTAAGCTCTTTAAGGATTACCACATCCATTCCGAATACATCTTTTGCTCTAGATGGTTTAAGAGATGTAATTGTTCTTATGACGTCTAATTCAGAGACTGCCCTAAGAGTAAGGGCTTGTTCATCTGTATTAACTGTATGAGTTTCAGTATACTTAGGGGAAAAACATTGAGCAATTGTGACTACCGAGTCAACAAAATAATAATTTAATGCTTCGGCTACATCAGCTGGATTGTTAGTCAGCTTCCCGTTAACCATCAATTCAAGTGAAGACCTATCCTTTCTATTGTCACCTTTTAAGTAGCTCAACCTATTCCATATTGTTTGTGAATTACCTCTAGCCTCATTAATTATCCTCAGAAAAAAATCAGCCTTTGCTTTTCTCAATGACTTTACCACTTTGTTCCGTAACATAGCGAAATGTTGTCTATCATGACTAAGCTTTGATCTGTTTGCTGTTTTTAAAGCAAGATCCCGTTTTTTCATTAATTTTAGGATATCTGAATTAATCCAAGGGACAGTATATTTTTTGTTTTTAGGATTAAGTTTACAACTGAAATCATTAATAATACTCTCTAATTTTTTGGAAAATATTTGACTGTCTTCGTCCTGATCTTTTCCGATTAATATATCCTCCCATTCAATCTGATGAACTGCCTTTCTGAAATCATCTAGTTTACGTTTTGGAATGCCGTAAGAGTCATATTTCCTTCGGAGTGGAATGAATCTCTTGCTAGATAATTTTCTGGCCACTAAAATTAGATTGTGATCAGAAAGACCTGTTAACATATTAAAAGTTTTTAAAATTCTCTCTGCTCGGTTACTAAAAATTAAATCAATTTGAGAACTCGTTGAGTTAGTTATTCTTGTAGGCCCATTAATAATTTGCTTCATATCAAAGTGATCAGTTATCTGTTTGAGATTCTTTGAAATGATTTGAGCTTTGTGACGTGGTGCATTATCCTGCTGGAAGTAGCCATCAGAGGATGGGTACATGGTGGCCATGAAGGGATGGACATGGTCAGAAACAATGCTCAGGTAGGCCGTGGCATTTAAACGATGCCCAATTGGCACTAAGGGGCCTAAAGTGTGCCAAGAAAACATCTTCCACACCATTACACCACCACCACCAGCCTGCACAGTGGTAACAAGGCATGATGGATCCATGTTCTCATTCTGTTTACGCCAAATTCTGACTCTACCAACTGAATGTCTCAACAGAAGTCGAGACTCATCAGACCAGGCAACATTTTTCCAGTCTTCAAATGTCCAATTTTGGTGAGCTCTTGCAAATTGTAGCCTCTTTTTTCTATTTGTAGCGGAGATGAGTGGTAGCCCCTCCGCCTCAAGGTTGTGTGTGGCTTCTCAAATGCTTTGCTGCATACCTGGGTTGTAACGAGTGGTTATTTCAGTCAAAGTTGCTCTTAAATCAGCTTGCTTCAGTCGGCCCATTCTCCTCTGAACTCTAGCATCAACAAGGTTTCGCTTACTTAGAACCACTTAAAAACATGTGTCGGACATGTGTAATTACACTGTAATTACACTATGGTGTTACTGTATCATTTTAAGCCCAGGTTCGATAATGACAGTCAAGAACAACAAGCTGATCGACCCAAACCTCAACATCTTTCACAGTGCTTACTTTTTATTTTATTTTATACCTCTCTTACATTTCAGATGTTAGATTATTCTTCGCATCACTGTAAAAACAGCATGTCCGTTAATACACTGAACGGCATTGGACTGCACAGTTTAGAAAGCAGTCGTTATAAAAACAGTGAGAATAGCTACAACAAAAAGCTGTTGTTGTACTGCTGAGGAATAGTGATTCAAAATGCATTTAATCGATGATTCTTCAAATCTTCTGCCTTTGTGAGTCCATGTAACTCCAGGGTCTGTTTGAGGACTGAATACATACAACAGAAAAGTAAGCAATAATTCACTGGAAATCTTCCACCCATTTCTTCTTGGCATGCTCGCAATCGTTTTATTGAGTCAGATCTTTCCAATGACTTGATTTATCCTGTTCATAAAATGAATCTGAATTATTATATTTTATTTC